AGATATTTCCTAATGCATAAGAAAACACAAATCCATATATATAAAAGACAATTTCGAGGGAAAGTAGTGCTGATTAAAAAAAAAATTTGGTAGACTAGTGCTGATTAATTAATTAACCAATTGGAGTGATTTTTTGTTATTTTGGTACTACCAATTTATTGCACACCTAACTGCTGACAATTCTCTACCCTTCTGATGTGGATAGTTAGAATTGTTTATTGCAATATTTTTAAAATGTCCCAAGTTTTAACAAATATCTTCTTTTTTTGTACTAAATGTATATCTATCTTATTAAATTTTAATTTACTGCAAATCCAATAATATATATATATATAGGGGTTTAATTTTCTCATGTTAAATGAGAATTCAATTCTGATGTTGTAGAGATAAAAAACATGTGAGACCCATGTGTTAAAAAAAATTATATGTAGGACCCATGTCAGCACGGAAATCGAAGGGTGTGTAAGGAAATTTAAATTCTCATGTTAAATTAAAATTATAAAACCCATATATATATATATATATGGGTGATGATCATTTTACACCAGTGTAAGTTACACTCTCAATCTTATCCGTTGATCCAATTTATATCTAAGGGCTCAAATTTTCTAATAATGTGAGCCATTGGATACAAGTGGATCAATGATCAAGATTGAGTGTAAGACTTCTAACTCTTACACCGGTGTAAGAATATCCTGCCCCTATATATATATATATATACGGTAGTTTCTTATTTATAATAGTTATCCAAGTCAACTAACACGTCTTTTCGAATAGTTATTTTATATGGTTTTTTATTTTTATTTTTCCTTTTGTTCGAAGGATACTTCAATGTGAATCCAAAAAAGAAAAAGAAAAGGGATACTTCAAATGCAATGTCATCAGTACTTTAGCCAGAATGTGAAAGAAAAAAATAGGTTGATAATGTGTTATATAAATTTGTTATGACCAAAGTTATGTCGTTGGGCTTGTTTATCAATTCACTGTCCAAATTATGTTCCTTGATGTGAATTGGACGCAGCAACCCTTATACAAAACGTGAAAAGGGAAATATGAGACTTTTTCAGGTGTGAAAAGAGAAGAAACAACATTTGGTAAAGATTTTGCAGATTATTTTAAGGGAAATATTAATCTCATGTTGTAGGAGACTACTATCTTATGTCATAGACACTTTGATAAATGTGCTGCTATTTTTTTTTCTTTTCTCTTTTTTAGTAGTGGGTCCCATCATTTTGTGTCTTAGCATAAGATATACCCTCTTCTATAACATGAGAGTAGACAAACCCTTATTTTAAACGAGAAAAAGACAAATAATGAAAATCTGTGGGAGAAAAAATTGGTAGTTTTTATTAAAAATTTGTTTTTTTAAAAAAATATTAAATTGTGTCTTTTTCTCACTTAAAATGATACAATTTTATGTCCTTCAAAAAGGATAAATATTTTTTCCTTAAATAATATGGTAACGAAAACATTTTTATTTGAAGGAGACAAATGTAGGTCGCGATAAATTAGTCTGTAAAATAAGAGGCACAGAGCTAAAGGAAATAATATCTGTGTATAGTGACAACAATAATACTAAGATTTCAGTTGCCTACCTTCCTTTTATAGAGAATTCCCTAAAGATGGGTCATACGCTCGGTTGCTAGGTGTCCATTATATCGATCCATAACAGAATAAATTTCATTTATTTCTTTGAAATGTTGTTACAATTAAGGTTTTAATGTTCTATCGTAAATGTAAATAAGTTATTTCTCAAAACGACGTTATTTTGAGTTGAAAAATTAAAAAATTATAATAAAAAACTATTATAATCTTGAAATAAATTATAATTATAAAAATATTTTAATTTTTGCCTTAAAACAACGTCATTTTGGACTCAATATAAATAAGTTATCTATATTGACCGTAGCAAATCCATCATTTAATTTAACACGAGACCTGTTGTTGTTAAAAGTCAGAAACGATTTAATAAAATATATTACATTTTCAAGAACCCCAAAAAAAAAAAAATTAGAGAAGTACGTACATGATAAGGACTAGCTTATACAACATTTCATAAGAGATGATTCATTTTCAATTAACTTTATGATTTGACATTAAGTATTAACGACATAATATTGTAAACAATTTCCCACTAACCTTGGCTTAGATTTCATCTTCTATTTTTTTTTTAGACCTACCTATCATCTGGCACATTAATGTTAGAGTTGGAGCTACAAGAATATTCGAACCATCTAGGTCAAGTAAAAGGTCACCGAAATTAAATTAAATGTAAACTAGCTAGCTAGGATGAGCTTATGTTGAATATATATATTTTGACTTTACCAAAAAAGAAAAGAAATATATATATATATTTCAAAGAATAATGAAAACGATGTTTGAATTGCACACTCGTACTAAGATTTTGGACATTATTCATTTTCATTAAAAGTGGATAAAAGTTTGACCTGCTTTCAAATAACTGTTTTTTTATTTATTTATTTGAATTAAAATGGGTGGCCCAAACAGCAAAGACCTGGTTCAGCCATCCCTCCATGCTTCTTTTGTTTCCCCCTTCAAAGATTCTGCATCCTTGACATGAATGAATTCTTTGTTAAATACTTATTGTTATAGTAATGTTATTAATTTAGCAACTAAAATACTTCTTCTCTTTTTAATTGTTTTTAAAGTTTAAGGGGACTAAAAGACTTTTTTTTTTTTTTTGACTTTTTTCTTGAAATGGTTGGCTGAAACAGCAAAGACTTTTAAATTAATGTTATTAATTTAATTGTTATTAATTTAGCAACTAAAATGGGTGGCTCAAACATGTACCTAAAAAAAAAAAGTTGGCTCAAACGGCAAAGATTAGTTTTTTTTTTTTTGGAAACTGATCCTAATTACCTCTTTGAGGCGAATCAGAACCCTTTGGTATCCCACGGATTCGACTCTTTGAGCCGCCTATGGGACTAATCCAGAGTTCGGGTGTGAGTCCAAGAATTACGGTACTTAGGCCCCTTCCCAGAGGTGTTGGTGAGATTCGAACCGAGGTCCACTCCCACCACTCAGCCCCCATAGTACCAACTGAGCCACTGCACTTGGATACGGCAAAGACTAGCTAGGTTCACTCGATTCAGCCATTCCTTTTTGTTCTTTTTGTTTCCCCTTTCAAAGATTCTGCATCCTTCGCATAAATGAATTCTTTGTTAAATAATAATTCTTATTGTTATATTAATGTTATTATTTTAGCAAATAAAATACTTCTTTTTTAATTGTTTTTAAGGGTCTATTTGATCTGCTTTAAAATAAAGCACTAACTAGACAGGGCAAAACTTTTTCTCCAACATTTGATTTAAAAATATCATGGGACAAGATAAAATTGAGTTAAAAATATTTGTCCCCTATTAAATCATGGGCCAACTTGTTATCCTAAAGCATAAAATATCCACCAACACCTCTCTCATTTGAGAACATTTTTTATACTATCGTCACATTGTTTATTGGGTATGACTCTAGTTTAAAATAAAATTTCAAATTATGTATTCCAAAAAATATATAGATATAATTTTTTTCTTTTTTTTCTTCAAAAAACATTTCAGCACAGATATTTTATTTTTATTAGACGGATGTAGGTATGACGATATTATATTAGAAATTTAACTCTCATTCCCAAGCCACCATGCAATTGTCATTGTTAAAACATGACTAGGTTCAGAGAGAGAAACCAAAGAGAAGGATAAAAAATTAAAAAAAATATATTTTAGAATATGTTTAATAATAATTAAATCAGATATATATAATTAGATTAGTCTGATAAAATTATGTTTCATGGAAATATTGAGTAAAAAAAATACATAAATTTATGTTGTCAATACAAAAATGTTTAATATAATTATGACTTGCGATATTATTGATATAATTTAAATATAAAAAATTATTTTAATTAAATAACATAACAAACAAAACACTTGATTGAAAAAATATTATATTTTTGAAATTTATTTACATGACAAAATCGATAAACATCGACCTTTATAATAATATATTATATACCACCTAATATATATTTTTTATTTATCATTATATGATAAATATAAAAATTATTCAATAAATATTAATATTATTAATAAATTTAAATAAAATTAAAGTGTGAAAATAATTAAATAATTTTAAAATATTAACCTGTATACTTTTTAAATTCAAAATAAATAATTTAAAACATAAAGGGTACTATGATAAATTTTTGTATTAATGTGTCCTATATTTATACATATCAAACAATATACAGCATATAATTACTTGTATTGTCCTTCAGAAGACAAAACAAAAAATTATATTATACTGAGCTAGTTGTGCTGTCCTATTACCCAAAGTTTAAGGGGACTAAAGACTTTATTCTTGAGAGCACTTTATGTTACACTAATTTACCCTGTGTGCTTTGGGTGATAAAAAATAAAAATTTCACACGTGCATGCAGCCACGCATTAACTAGTGAATAGTGATTACAAAACAATAAACAATGCTAATCACAATCCAAATTCAACTCCCAAATCTTAAAAGGGAACTCCTTTTTTATGCCTGAGCATAAACCCTAATCTTAAATTAGTGGATTGTGGAATAGGTACAATATTAGAGAAATGATTACTAACAATAGCCACCCCATACTTTTCTTACCTTTACCCATTGCAAATTATTATTTTAAAGGCACATTTTTCCCATGCAACCTTCCTCGTTTGTTGCCATCACTATCCCACTCTCTTGTGTGGCATCAAAAGTAATAAAAGTCATCAATGACATGAATCTCTTTCTACAGCTACATGGGGCATAGTGTCTTTATTTAATCTAACAAAGCAACAAGACATAACAGTATTTCAAGGCCCTCATAGTCATATATATCAATGTTGTGGTTTGGTTAAATAATTGTGTCGTATAAATTTTAAACTCGTATCATGTTTTAAGTGTTGTTTTTGGAATTTCCACTAGATGATAAAGATCATATATATAAAATATAGTGTATGATATATATGTAACATAAAGTGGAAAAGTAATTACATATTTATATAAGACTATTTCCAATGCTTACAACCTCATTGCCACTTCCAAACTCAGCAAGAAACCAAATACAAATCAATTTTCAAGAACATAAGTTTAGAAGCATTTTTTTACATTTTACACCTCCCTTTGCTTCAATCTCTCTCTCAGATGTATTAGTTTGCCCTGAACTTGTTTGGGTAACTCATCAGACATGTCAATTTCAGACCTTTCTACATGTTTTCTCTGTATAATATCATGGTACATAGGTAGAAATCGACTTTGGAAAGACCTATAGGAGAAATAGGGTAGAAGCACACACACAACAACCAAAAGGGTAACTAGCCAATATAGAACACTGGGAGCACATGCTTCCACAAAGACCCTGTAAGCTGTTGTGGATATGGCTGGAGAGAGATAACCATAAACTAACACGAATACATACCAAAAGGCAATGCTACCCCAGATAAAAAAATGCTGGATCCAAGTGAAGTAGTTGATGGAAAGTGCCATTTGGCAATTCACTGTCCACACCACACAAGTATACATTGTGACCCCAAGTATTTCAAAATCAACCACTTGACCATCTCTTCTGAAGGCTTGATTTAAGACTGAATTAGTAGTCAAGAAGAAGATTACTATGGAGCTAATGACTCCATTCAACATCCAGCCAATAATCCGGGGCCAGCTGAAGAGGGTGTCCTCTACTCCTTCTAGATATAGAAAGGGATACTGTAAAAAAAGATAGTAAGATTAGCACATGGTCCCTAGGCTTCCAATTAAATCATTAATTTAAAAATCATCACCCAGCAATAGAAATAATAGACACATGAATACATTAGCATAAACATCTTATAGAGGTATATGTTTACATTTAAAGATGTGAAAGAACCAAAAAAATTCAGATAAACTATAGTTTAATCATATTCCAAGTGGTTACACAGGGTATCAGCTAAAATTTAATACGCACGGTGATTGGTGTGTTTGATGATAAAGCCTGTGTCTCTTGATGATAAACCAAGTCATTTAGAAATCAAAACACTAAGATGAATATTAGAGTACTTTGGAGGTGAACTTCATATCAAAGCTCCAAAGTTTATAATGCTTTATGAAAGATCCAGAGAGACCATGTCTTCATACATAAAATTCCAAGTACCCTGATCAATCGAAAGTTCGATTCTATCTGAACTGTTCATTTTCAAATGATATCCACAGTGCTCACAAATATTCATTTTGGATTGAAACAATTTCTTATACATAACAATTTTCACATTCTATCCTCAAATGCTGGTATTTTTTATTTTCATCGAGATCATAAAACTTCTCCCTCTAGTGAAATCACTATCATTTGTGTTGTTTGTGCCATTTTTTATACTAGAACTCTCATTTTCACTACCATTTTTGCCCTTACCACAAATGTTACTATAAAAGTAACTATCATTAAATTTGTCACTATCATCTAAAATGTGACTATTGATGATAAAATTTAATCATATTCCAAGTGGTTACATAGGGTATCAGATAAAATTTAATACGCACAGTGATTGGTGTGTTTGATGATAAACCAAGTCATTTAGAAATCAAAACACTTGGATGAATTTTAGAGTACTTTGGAGGTGAACTTTATATCAAAGCTCCAAATTTTATAATGCTTTATGAAGGATTCTACAATCAAAGCAAATATATTCAGACACATAGAAATAGTAAAAATAAATCATTAAAAATATTAAAAAGCATCCGAAGACAGAGGTGGCATGTTTTTGAGTGAATGGGGGTAACTTCACTGAAAGCAAACCCAGAGGAAGAACCAAGACTTTCAGAAAAGAAGTGGAAAAATATAAACCAAAAGGTGTTGATCCTATACAATTATCACAAAATTGAAATACAACTAACCACATTGTCATAAAAGAACTGGTCCTAGAAAGAAAATTTTCAGTGCATACAATTCTTGACTTCTAGAAAGAATAATTCTATATATCGACCCACCAGGTCCTTGATTATTTTTCAATATGTAGAGAAGAAATTTAAAAAAAAAATGACAATTTAGTACCTTCAGGCAAAGTTTGGCAGAAACATCCTGATCGAATACACCTAGAGCGATTACTGGAAGTGAAGTGAAGAAAACATTGTAAAATGACATGTACCAATCATTGTAGGCAGGTTGACCGGAGAAAGAAGCATATGCCTCAAACCAAAATAAGGTAAATCCAAATGCAATGTTTTTATAGAAAAAATAGCATATCTGCAATCAACAAATAAAAGTCATCAGTGACAAATCTTTTTGTGGATGAAGTTTCCTAAATTTATATCTGAACAACAGACATGATACAATTTAATGCATTCACAAACACATAATTCTCTTAAAATGCAAACAGAAAAAAATAAGATCATCTTCAGCATGAGTAACCAATCAACTCATGAAAGGAGTTAACAAAAGATGCATAGAAGGAAGATGAAAAATGATAGAATCTTTCATAATGTTCATTTCAGAACATTGAGGGGGATAAAATTGAACCATGAAAGCATTGAGAAGGTGAGCACTAAATCTTGTATGGTAAGACTTTGACTTTGAGAAATAGATGGATGCATGGTTTTACCATCAATGATATTCGCCTATAACACCAGTGGCCATGTACCAACAACAAACGCTCCAGAAAACGGAATTGAGCTATTGCAAAATCACTTGCCATTACAGCCTGTAGACAAAAAATAGTTTTTTAAAAAATAAAAATAAAATAAAAATCAGAAGACCACATCAAAGCACTTCTAAAATTCTATTCCTTACATTATATTACTAATAACCTATGTTGCATGGATATGGGTTTGAGGGCTTGGTTGATTATGTATAATTAAAAATTCTCTTCAATTTCTCCAGAATTTAACATAATCTACCAAGTCTTTGGTCACATATAAAGACTACATTTTAAGCAGCACAAAAGAGTTAAGACCGTAAGTGACTGAGAACATGGTATGGTAGACTAAATTAAATTAAAAATTCTCTTCAATTTCTTCATTATAATATGGACTGGGAGAGAGTATAAATCTATTTAAGCACAGATAAAAGGCACAGCCCAAATAAGCATAAGCAAATGTATCTTTAAACCTGCATCCCTTCAGCACCACTTATGCCAACTCCAATATCAGCTTCCTGAAGCATGCCAACATCATTTGCCCCGTCGCCTATAGATAACGTTGTCTTTCCTGTTCCCAATTTCACCAATCTTGTAACCTGCATTTTTGTTTTGTCTGATGTGACTACAATGTTTTGACATGCCAAGAACCAACTATATACATGGAATTTCTATTATTTATATGGCATGGAAATTTAAATTGTACATCCATAATACTCACACGAGCTTTCTGTTTGGGTGAAGATCGACAACATATGACAGAAGCACAATTAATTGCTAGCTCAAAGAAGGACATCTCCAAAATCTTGTTAAGAGAATAGTCCAAGGACTTCCCATCAATTATCAAGGCAAATTCAGAAGAACTTCCTTTTTTTTTCTTTGGTAAGTCAGAAGAACTTCCTTTATCTGTATTAGAACTCTCTTTCGCAGACTTGATTTGTGATACTCCCTCACTAATTTGCTTCTTAATGCTTTCAAGAGAGGCCTAAGCAATCCTTGTATCAAAAATCTATAATAATGAGAGAGAATTAAATGCCAAAAAACTTCCAAGATGATGTACCTTTATTAGAGCCTCCTTGTCCCCTTGTTTTTCCAAGGATAGGATATCTGGTGAATCAAGAGTGATCACTATCTGTTTCATGTCTTGTCTAAGTAAACTACAAGCATACCTATAAAAAGAAAAACTAGAGTAAACTTTATGCAACTTCCACAGAAACAGAATCCAGAACAAGCCTTGTTGATGTACCCTATGTTGACAGCAGTTTCCATCTTGTCCCCAGTCAATACCCATAACTTGATTCTTGCCTTGGCAAGCTTTACAATACATTCAGGAACCTGTATTTCATGTAAACAAAGTAAACTTTATCAACTAATCAAGAACACAATTAATGGTGTTAATAGCTATTTACTTGGTCAATTTTTCCCCAATTTTGGTGGTCTACTTCTGAAGCTGGAGTTCTTTTTATTTTTCTGTTAGTAGTTCATTTCATTGCCACTATGCATAAAAAACTGTACCAGGTTTCAAGTTTGTAAAATGTATACTACAATAAATGCAAAAGTTATATAAAAATGTGTAACAGGTTTCAAGTTTGCAAAATATATACTATAATAAAAGCAAAAGTTATATAAATAAAGGTAAGAAAAAAGTCAAAACTTTATACTTACCCCCTTTTGCAGCTTATCCTCAACTGCTGTAGCACCAAGAAGTATCAAATCTCTTTCCATCTTATCAGCAGCAGCATCCACTAGTGCATTTCGGTCTGCTGCTACAGAAGTTTTGGTCTTTGTAAACTCCTTGTCCCACAGCTTATATTCTTCTTCACCAAGTTCGCGGTATGCGACTACAAGAGTTCTTAAACCTGCCTCCGCATATCTTTTGATTTGATCTTTGGTCTCAGCCTCAAACTGTCTTCCATATTGCGAGAGCCTTTCAAACATAACACTGAATATATGCAGGGAAATGAAAATTTTCACATCACTACATGCAACTTACTACTTAGAACTGCATTAATGACAAAGCATGTGGATATTTATTGAAACCTGTCTGCACCCTTGCATAGGAGCAATAATTGATTTTCTGCATTCCTCACTATCACTGACATTCTTTTGCGGGAACTGCTGAACTCTAAGACATGCAGAAGCTGGTACACTCTGCTCATCAAAAATTAGGTCAATGAACAATGAATTAAAAACAAGTTTCCAAAAGAATGAAAATGCGCCAAATATTACAATATGGATATATGAAGATTTTTTAAAGCATTGTGAATCACTTTCTCTCAGTATGCCTGATCATGGATCAAATATATCAAAGAGGTTCAAAGCTATAGACAGGAATCAATCAGAAATAAAGAAAAAGAATACAAAACTAGAAATATCCAAGAATACAACCAAATAGTTAATAAAATTTCAAAGTTGAATTTTCTCTGAACGAGGGTCAAAGATGATATGCTTAACAGTTGGCAATTTCTTTGACATGGATTTGCTTCTTTGTTCTAAGATATTAAATCTTCTGACCTTTACTATCCTCCTTTATCAGCCCCTATTCTTCCCAAAATGAAAGGCTTTAAACAAGTAAATTTTCTTCCCCTCAACCTTTCATCCTAAAGCCAACTTTAAGAACACTGACATTTTCTAAAAATCATTTCCTTTACAGATTATTCTGCAAAAGGAAAATTTCCTCCTAACTACAATGTATATCATCCAAAAAATTACAATGAAGAAATTAGTTGAATAGATATATGAAGATGGCATAGGAAGAATATATTATGACTTCAAAATTCATATTATAATTTTGTCTATTGAGAAGCCAGATCAAACTCTGTTGACAACAGAAGCTGAACTCTCTATAAAATAAAAATTATAGAATCTCACATCTGACATGACGATTTTGGCCTCTAAAATTACAGTGAGCTTATCAGCAAATTGGGTGGATATATATACAAAACAAAAACATGGTTAAAGGAGCTAGCCAACCTGTCAACCTTTTTTCCACTTTCATAATTCAACTCATGCAATGATATGCTTGTTTGTGTCCTTGCAAAAAACTCAAAACCAAGCTCCCTTGCAGCTATGACAAAAGCTGCTTCATCTGGTGACTCAGCTTCATAGGAAATTTCTCCTGATTCTTTATGTACATCTGGAATAGCTGTATGACAAATAGCCAAAACTCGAAAGAATCTCTGAATGATGTCTGGATGTGGTTCATTAACCCACTGCCCATTCATTACTCGTTCATCTCTAAAGTTAAAGCCCTTAATTGGGTGCTGAGAGTCCACGGCATCACTACTCTGGCCCAAGAACTCAGATGATACATCATCAACTTCAGATTCCCCATTTCTCCCTCTCCTAGCAAGTGCCTTCTCCACTTCTGTCATACCACGACCATATGGAATTCCAGCTATGGAACATTTAACAAACTCCATTGAGTTACATGTCAAAGTACCAGTTTTGTCAGACAATATTGTATCAACTTGACCAAGTTCCTCGTTCAAATTAGATGTGCGTGCATGAGCTGGCCTATCTGCTTCTTCATAATACATTTCCTGATCTTGGTTGATGAAAATACTCTGCAGAACTTTCACAATTTCTATGGACACATAAAGCGATATTGGAATTAGATATCCATACAACATAAGGGCGGTCAGAAAATGAAGAACAGAAGCAAGTGTTGCCCTTCTAGGATCGTAAAACACTGTTGCATTGTCTGGACGAAGATACCATCTTCTATGCCTGCCAGTACTAATATCCTTTTTGGACTCAACACCGAAAAAGACAGAACCAATAAAGGATATCAAAATCAAAGTACTAAAGAGGATGTAGATTATCTTATCCATTTTTCTCTCAATTTTGCTTCTCTTGGATGGAGGATCAGTGGAATTCTGCATCACTTTTGTATCATGGCCAGTAAAGATAACAACACCATAGATATATTCAGTGTTTTTCAGCTTAGAATCTCTTAAAAGGATCTGCTGCAAGGAAAGAGGGTGTTCTTTACCCTCATATTCTAAAGTACCTATAAATGAGTACAGATTTTCATTAGGATCCTCACATTTGACCACAGCCCTAAACTTTTGGAGAGATTTTTCATTACGAAGATGAGTTGTCGCCTCCAGGGCATGCTTTAATTTTAGATTAGTTTCTCCATCAAGATTCATTGTCTCAACATAGCAAACCCCATCCTCATAGCTTGATGAAAGCAGAAGAAGATCAGCAGGAAAGAATTCATCCTTAAACACTTTAATGATGTCACCAACACGAAGCTTCTTCCATCTAGTCTCAAAAAATGTATAATTTCTACCATATACCTGAACCTTTCGGTTGTTTGCCTCTATATCCTGAAGAAATTAAAGATAATTTAAGAAATTTAGCAAGGAAAACCCTTTCTCCAGTACAATATATATGATATATCAATATGTGGTTGGGGGGGGGGAGGAAAACTTTCTAGCACACATAAAGATTTAATAGAAATCAATCGCAAAAGTTGACTCTAAACAGAACACAAAAGGCAAGCACATCCATAGCAAATCAGGAACAGAAAAAAAAAAAAGGAATGTGCACAAAAAAAGGAAAACAAGTTACGTAGGCATGAAGCAGTAGTTAATTATAAGACAGAATAATAAGGAACAGCATTGTTTCCTAGAGAATCTTTTTCCAGAAATAAGGAAGATGAACAACTTCTGACACAAATTGGAATGTACTTGGAATTATATTGGATGTGTTCAAAGAAAAAGAAAAAAAAAAAAGAGTTTTGTGATACCCATTCCTGTTTCTAGAAGCAAAAGAGTACTGGAATATACTTATATGTAGATAAGACTACAGCAATTCTTAAATCTTTGTGCATTGTAAGATATTGAAACTTGTAAACCTAGTCTTCGAACCATATATTTCCATGGAATTCAGTTAGGAATTTTTCACATTATTAATAGTAAATATGAGCAAGAAGTAGGTCTTAATCGATAGTCTATAACATCAGTAGTACTAATAACTAAAGGCAAACCCCAGCACACAAGACTCCCCTACTTTACGAGAGTGGAGTGATGGTCTATTGACCAACCTTACTTGGTTTCTTTCGTAGTAACTATTAAGGGAAAAATTGTATCCATTATTTTTGGTTTCATTCATACTTTTCTAATTTAAAACCACAACACAACTAAAAGCTACTCACAACGCCAATTGAGTATTGTTCAATTTTATTACACACACACACATATATATATATATATAAACGTTGACCTTTATAGAAAATTCCACCAGGAGGAGGAGGAATTGGTAGTGCAAGATGAAAGGATATAAAGTGCACAAAATTAGAAAGTATAATAGCATCGAAAAATAAGATAAAATAAAAAATAAAAAAACTGAGACAATACCTGCTGTCTCCTCCTCCAATCTTCTACAGCTTCCTTGGCCATAGTAGCTCCAATCACAGCAAGCAACGGTGCAACAATACTTAGAGCTGTGTAAGGTGCCAATGGACTAAATGAAACACACGCAACAATAAGAAAGTAGATATTTGCAACCCTTCTGAACTGCTCAAATAAAGACTTGGGGAAAAAATTAAAAGCTGTATACTTGGTCGTTGAAACATAGTTGCCTCTATAATTCAACTGAATTGCTTCTTGGTTATCAGGATCATTGCAGTATATAACCCTTGAGTACCCTTTCTGCCCAATTTGGGAATGACCATCTCTAAACGGAGATTTCAAACAAAGAAAAGAATATAGTTTGCTAAAATGTATGCTCTTTTTGCTCCCTTGAGGCATTTTCTCAAATGGGTTCTCTTCTTTTCACCTATTAAGATCCAACTAATGCTCTAATTTTCCAAGGGATCACAGAAACACCCATCACAAGCACAAGAGTTTTGTTCCTCCTCAGCATGAACACTCTCACCTACTCTATGAACAATGAAAGCACCAAAGTAGAAGGCCAAAAATAAGAAAAAACAAAAGAATTAGGCCAACCCCCTTTACCTAAAACTGAGCACACTCAATTAATATGAAAAAAACCAACATGACAAGCCAAGAAAATAATTAAAAAAAAAAACAGCTTTATTAGCAAATAAGCTTTGATTACTCAGTTTCTGAGCCAGAGATTACAACAGAAAATGAATGAAGATTCCTGCAAGCTCATGTAAATTCCCACTAAAAACAAAGAACAAAAAAGCTTCAACTGCACAACAATCACAGGTAAAATAAGCTGGAAAGAGTGCAAGTTAGAGTTTTTGGAAGTTCCTTGCTCTCAATGGAAGCTGCAGATGTCTCTTCCTTGCGGGTTCAACCAAATTGTAGAGAGAGAAAGAGAGAAAGAGAGAGAGAGAGAGAATAAAAGGTAAGAACTTGTTGTGAGTTTCAGTTAACTTTGCCGCTTGTATAAGCAAACAAATGAGAGAGACAGAGAAACATTGATAGAACCGACTACCGAGCTTGTCATTAGTACTGTTACTATTACTGTCTTCACTTCACCTTTCATGGCCTTTTGACTGATCAATGAAAACTAAAATTACCCATTTAATTCTTCTACCAAATTATTTATCCATATTAGAGTGAAATATACTTAGAGAGCATGCACGTTTAAATGTTACACATTAAATATATGGGATACTATATTGTTATTATCAGATAATATTACTACTAATATTATTATCAGATAATATTACTACTAATATTATTATCATATTTTAACCGTTAATTTTCGTCAATCAACGATTATTATTTATTGTGAATTAATAATTAATTAATGAACTTGATTTGTGGAAATAATAACTGTTGATTGGCGAAAATCAACTGTTAAGATATGATAGTAACATTATTTGATAATAACAATATCATATCCCTAAATATATATGTTAAATCATTGATTTTGTATTACTTAATAGCTTAAATTTTTGAATTGGATTGTTTTTTTACTTAATATCAGAGATTTTATATCACGAGTTCGATTCTCACCAATCTCATGTAATTGATTATGGAAAATGTTTTTCTCATATTACATGATAAATTTTATCTCATGTTATACACACATCAAAATTCAATGGAACATTTTTTGTTTTTTGTTTTTTTGTTTTTATTATGAGACCTATCTAATTATGTCTCTACATAAAATAATGATATCTCATGTAATATGATAAAAGTATTTCCCATTGATTATTAATCAAATCTTATGAAATTTATTAACCCATATAGACGAGCCTGTATATTGCATAGCAGGTCACGTTTTGGCTTTTACACACATTATAAAGTGAGTGGGACTTAAATGTTAATATTTTTCCATACGTATTTTATTCATATTAAATTAATAAATAATTTTTAAAAATATTAAATCAGTATTATATTTGATTTTTTTCATTGCACGGGTTAAAAAAGTTTTTAAGTACAAAATGAGGAAAAACAGAAAGAAAAAAAAACATAAATATAATAAGGTTTTATGTTTATCATGTAACATAATATAACCTCATTTTTTACACACACATTAAAAATGTGATATTCACATATTTTTCTTTCTCTTTTATCATTTCACTTTTTTTTTTATTGTATATGTTGAAATAATACTTAAATTATGTTACATAACATTAATAAAACCCATATAATAATATACTGTGTTTGCATGAAGTGAAAGACTTGGATGTTAAAGTTTGTGCATCCCAAACTCCAATCCGTAAACACATTTTTTTTTAGGTGTTTTTCTTGGTTGTGGTTACACGTGTTGTTACATTGACAACAACAAAGCCTGCTACAGATAGATACGTTTTCCCTTTTTTTCGTACTAACTACTATTCGTACTAACTACTAGATGCGTTTTTCTATGTGAGACTTGACTTGGGTTGGTTTTCCTAGACATTTTATTTTTTTGGTGTGGTTTCCTAGACATTATTGTTTGTGCATTTTGCAGCATATTGTTTTTTTTTTCTTTAATTGAGAAAAGAGTAATATATTTGTTAGAAAGAATATTTTTAAAATTATTTAAAATATTTTTAAAATATCTTTATTATTTGTAAAAATACAAATAATCTATTTTTTTTATTTTATTAGAATTTAAATTAAGTATGAACTAAGTTCATTAATATTTCTTTATACATTGTACCTTTTTTATCTATTCAATATATAGATTCATTTCAATATTTTTCTCATATCTTATTATTTTACCATATTAATGCCCAGATACATAAAAAGTAAACTAAACAAATGAATTCGGATGCCAATTCGGATTGATGGGTAAAATTCGCTGTTCTCTAAAACAATATTTATTATTTAAAAATTCTAAAATTGATTAATATGGTTCTTAAACACAGTTTTATACTGTGCAAATAATTTTGAAATATAATTAAAAGTAAATAAAAATTTAAAATTACAATATTGCTCGTGGAAATAAAAATGAACTTAAAAATCTAAAAGTAACACACGACGCATTTAAACATGATTTTACGTCAATTTAAGATTATATAAGATGAAAACTTGTCAAGCTAAAAAATTATTATAATTAATCTTAAAATAAGTTGAACGGATGATAATTTTTAACCCGACATGTTGACACAAGATGAGAAATTCATATTCGGTTTGACCTGTTTTTCAATTTGTATTGTTTTTTTTTTTTTTTTTTTTTTGATAACACAATTTGTATTGTTTTAGTGTAAGTAAAAATTGACACGAAAAAATTCGTGTCGTGTCAATCATCATAATAAACAACATATTTTTATGTTGTCAGGTTATTTGTATCGTATCGTGTCAATTCGCAAAATAAACAAATTGTGTTTTCATCAAAAAAATTGACTTATTTTATAAATTCGTGTCATGTTTGTGTTTTTTTGAAATTTGTTTTGTGTTGTATAAACCAAAATTGTAACCTTGTAGTGCATGAATATTTTGTTGTCGGAATCAGCGGCAGAGCCACCTGTTCGTTGAGTTAGGGCCAACAAAAATTTAGGTGAGACTTAACCTAAAATCTTATCCATAAACTTAGCCACGATTACTTAACTACATTTAATTTTCAAAAACAAGTCAAAGTCAAGGAAAACCTTTGAAATTTTTTCCTTATAATGTGGCTCTGCCATTGGTTAAAAATATTATTTTTAATCTAAAAAAATCTGAATTCATTAACTATATATGTTTCTTTTTTTAATTCATGTTGTAATATAAGAGAAATTACATACAACATTGGAGCATAAGGCAACGACAAATCAAGAAGATTAATGTTCTTAAATGTTAAGATGGATAAAAAGAAACATAATTCCAATAAAAAACAACTCAGTATATTAAAGTATTAAGAGATTCGACTTCACATGGTCTTTTTTGGTAAGACCAAAAGTTAGGCCTCGGTGCAAATCTTCGCTCCTTAATTGAATGTTCAATTTCCTAACTTCACTTATATTCCATTTATTTACAAATAAGTGCTCTTCTATCATTCATATCCCACCAATTCCCTAATTCATTTATAAATGATATACAAACGCAAACCCACTTCTAAAAAGATTAATATAATTGAGTTGGGTGATAAACCTTTAGTTTATCATGTCGTTAAAGCTAAATAGTACATGAAATTCATGATCAATTGCATGAAAACTTAGGTTTTATAGTGAAAAAAGCATGAAAGTTGGATTTGTATCTAACATATCTTGTTCTTATTGGTTTTGAAGGTAAATTGATACAAATTTGAGCAAGAATGTAATAAAGAATTTGGAGTTGGAAATATAAGATTAAAGACGTCCTTGATGCATTTAAGAAATTAATTTAACATTGAAGGAGCGCGTCTTAGCCCGCTCAAGCGCGTTAAACCACGCTATTTAATGGGAAATCATGAACAAAAGCTTCGAGTTGAGCGCCTCTGGACGTACTCCAACGCGTTGACAGAAAGAAAATCCTCCTCGATGAGGGCGTTCCAACGAGCTAGGGATCATTTCAACGCTCTCATACAACTATAAATTATAAGCAAGCAACGCTCGTTTGCGATTCAACTTAGACCTAACTCTTGGAATCACTTAGGGCACAGATCAATGGCCTATAAAATGGGATTTTCAACACCAATTGAGGAGCTTTTGATAATTCTAATTAGAGAATCCTAATTTGGCGATAGAGAAACGCGTCTTTTATGCTTTGGAGCATTAGGAGCGGGTGGAATTCACGAATGCGCTAGGAACTCTGAAGATTCAAACAAGCTATCATACCAATGGAGGAATAACCAGAGATAGACATAGGATAATTGTGCAATCTTGTCAAAATTCTTGTGATCTAAGGATAGACATAGGATAATTGTGCAATCTTGTGATTCTTAATCTTAATACATGTCTTCTTGAGGAATAACCGGGGAAATAGGGTTCTTTCAAGATTGCATAGGATTAGAGTAATAAGGGATTGAGCTCTAATAAATTTAGAAAGAATCGATTGGCAATATATTAAGGACGAGTTCTTAATTTTTTAATTCATAACATATGAAAGAAATTGGAGGAAATCGAAATCTTAACTACGCTTTTTTTTCAATTGTCAAAAACCAAACTTTTCTTAAATTCTTGTTTTTATTATGAAATTATATGCTCTACTTTTCTTCGTAATAGTTTGTCCAAATAAATCGCGAGCAGTGAACTAGTACTTGAATTCCGATCCTCGTGGAAATGATCTTGTACTCACATACACTTTATTACTTCTACAATTGGTATACTTGTCAAAGTCGCAACATTAGATATGATTCGTATTTCACATGCAAATGACGATACTTGTTGGCAGGGCGTACAGTACAATTATGCGATTTTTGCTTTTTTTTTTTAGTACAATTTCTTTTCTTTTTTTATTAATTTGATCTTGGACCCATGAATATTTCGTTTTATTTATTTATCATTATGTATGTGTGTGTTCCGGTCCAGCAAATACAACCGTGGATTTCAAGTTCAAATTGAACTTGGAGTCTCCTGTGACATCGTGAATGGAGATTCACAATATATGTGACTTCATATTTCAATCGCTTTCTAATTATTGCGATGTAAGTATTTTAATTTTATTCATTGAATATTCTTACTCAGGTAATAGCTAGGTACCATGAATCTATCGCTTATACAGGGTTGTTGTGCATGGAGGATATGGTGTTCAATTTTTACATCATCTTTTGTTTTGTTCGGTTGACTAAAGACACGTTGCACCTCTTAAACGATGACTACGAAGTTTACTGAATAAGCCTAATCTTAAATATTTTGTGATTAGAATATTAATTTTTTGTTTTTGTTAAGTTTTACCTTAAAAGGAGTTTATTAGTAGAAGATATATTTATCATATTATATGAAATAATTTTATATCATGTAATATACAAAAGAGTGGATGAGACGTATAAAAAAAAGCAAAAAATTAAATTTCATCTACTATATATATATATATATA